TTTTAGGATTAGGTCTCTTATTAGAGCAGTGCTAATATCATAATAGATTATAATTCTACAGGTCAAACGAAAGCTTATGATATAACAAATGTAAGTATGTGTATCCTTACTTACTTGCTTACGCCTGTTACTCCTCGTGAAGGAGCATAGGCTGCTCAACAGTATTCTCCATACATCTATCTGTCCTGACCAATCCTTCCCAGCTACTTTCATTCGTTATTCATCCTTTTCATATGTGCTTCCATTTCCCGACGTAATGTGTTCTTTGGCCTTCCGCTTATTCCCTTCCGTTCAGGATTCCAAGTTAGGGCTTGCCTCGTAATGCAGTTCGATGATTTCCTCAATGTATGTCCTATCCATTTCCATCGTCTTTTCCTAATTTCCTCTTCAGCTGGAAGCTGGTTGGTTCTCTCCCACAAAAGGCTGTTGCTGATGGTGTCCGGCCAATGGATGTTGAGTATCATGCGTAGACAGCTATTGATAAATACCTGTACCTTCTTGATGATGGTTGTTGTAGTTCTCCGCCTTTCAGCTCCGTACAGTAGAACTGCCTCGACGTTCGTATTGAAGATTCTGACTTTGATATTGGTTGAAAGTTGTTTTGAGTTCCATATGTTCTTCAGTTGAAGGAATGCCGCTCTAGCTTTGCCAATCCTCGCCTTGACGTCTGCATCTGAACCTCCTTGTTTATCGACGATGCTTCCCAGGTAAGTGAAGGATTCCACGTCTTCCAGAGTTTCGCCATCAAGAGTGATTGGATTGCTGTTCTCCGTGTTGTGTTTGAGGACCTTGGTTTTCCCTTTGTGTATGTTGAGGCCTACTGATGCAGAGACTGCTGCTATGCTGGCTGTCTTTATCTGCATTTGTTCGCGTGTATGCGATAGGAGGGCTAGGTCATCTGCGAAGTCCAAGTCGTCTAATTGGTTTTGAGCTGTCTATTGTATGCCGTGTCTTCCCTCAGATGTCGAGGTCTTCATAATCCAGTTGACCACCAGAAGAAAGAGGAAGGAAGAGAGTAGACAGCCTTGTCTGACTCCGATCCTTACTTGGAATGCTTCTGTCATCTGTCCTCCATGCACTGCTTCGCACTATAGTCCGTCGTATGAGTTCCGGATAATGTTGACAATCTTCTCAGGCACTCCATATTGTCGAAGGTGTTACCATAATGTTCTATCTACACTCAAACGCCCTTTCATAATCAATGAAGTTGATGTATATTAACGAGTTCCACTCAATTGATTGTTCAACGACGATCCGTATTGTCGCAATTTGGTCCGTGCACGACAGATCCTTAAAAAATCCAGCCTGTTGATCTCGACGTTGGGCGTCTACTGAGTCTTTTATCCGGTTCAGCAACACTATGGTAAAGACTTTCCCTGGTACTGACAGAAGTGCGATGCCTCTGTAGTTTTCACATTTGCTCAGATCTCTTTTCTTGGAGTCCTGAAGAGGTGTTCTTCTTTCCAGTCCATCAGCACTTGCTTCTCCTTTCAAATTTTCTTAAATAGGTGAATCATGTTTGGAGTTACTTTGATATCTGACTTCAGTGGTTCAACTGGTATATTGTCGGGTCCTGCTGCCTTCCCGCTCTTGATCTGTCTTATGGAGGTCCTGATAGCATCCGTCGTTGGTGGATTGACATATATAGGAAAATCTGTGTGTGCTGCTTCGATGTCCGGTGGATTTGTAGTGGCGTTGGGCCCTAACCACACAATCCTCAAAGCTGAACACGAGACTACTCGGAAAATAGATATTCAATATTTAACGCGGAGAAATACCTAAGAATAAAAAGGTGGGGATAAGGAATGGAATGAATTTGAGTTGAGTGGATGGCATGGTTCGACCGTGCAGGCGTGGTCTCTGTTGAACATTACCTTATATCTTTTATTCATATTAAATATATTGTTCTATCTGTAGCCTGAGCTTGTTCTCCGTTATGTATTGGTAATTGTTACGATACAGTGAGTTCGTGTCGATGATGATGTGATTTCCACGTGAGATCTTATAGATTGGGCAGTTATATCATGACGAATCTACAATTTTAGGATTAGGTCTCTTATTAGAGCATTACTAATATCGTAGTGGACCGTAATTCTGCAGATTCCTTGGAGCCATCCTAATAAAGAGTTCCTCGAAGTACTTTACATATCTGTTCCGCTGTCTTAAAATTTCAGTGATTGGCCTGTCTTCTTTGTCCTTGACCGTTCTCTCTGGTTAGAAACTAGCTTCTTCGTTGCATCATAAAGCTGCTTCATATTTCTTACTCTTGCAGCTTCTTCCGCCATCGTTGCTAGTTCTCCCACGTTTTCTGCTTGTCGGCTCTAATGCTCTTCTTTACTTGCTTGTTTGCTTCTGTCTATTCAGCTTGTGTCTTGAGTTTCTCTGCTCTCGTTCGGCTGTTGTTAATTGCTGTCTGTTTGTTCTCACTTCTTTTGATCTTGTCCAGTGTTTCTATAGATATCCACCCCTTATGATGTTTGTTGCGGCCCAAAATCTCTTGAAACGTTGAAGTTGATACTTTTTTGATACCTTTCCAGTTGTCCCCCAAAGTAGTTTCTTCTTCCCTCAGTAGATCCTGTAAAACTTTAAACCTGTTTTTGAGAGCTATCTTGAATTCGTTGAGTTTGTCAGTATGTCGAAGGAACGTTATGTTGAATCTTTGTACTACTGTTTCCCTAGTTCTCATAATAGCAAGCAGAATTCATTGTGCATCAATAACCTTTTAGATATGCTTAACCAGGTTTGTAATCATATTTCTCCCATTTAGGACTGTTCGCACTGCCGTGAAATGTCTTCAGGTTATTTTGAAGCTTCAAACATTTTATCACTCTCCATACCTAGACATCATTAGCATAAAAGAAAATCGACGTTAATAGGGAACTGGAAAGTCATTTACGTACAGGAAGAACAAGACCGGCCACAAAACTGTACCCTGAAGTATTTCGCTAAACACAGTTTCTCAGCTGGACCACTTTGAGTTCGCCCATACTGTTTTTTGACGCCCAACCAGGAAGTTTTTATCCACACTAATAAATGGCCTTGACTCACGATATTACTTAACTCATATAACAGCCGGTTGTAAGGAACATTTTAAAAAGCCTTGCTGAAGTCAATGTGGACTAAATCCATAGGTAACTTTTGATCTTTAAGAGCCCGTCAACTTTCACGGGCTACTAATATGTTAGTTAGACATCAATAACCTGTTCTAAAGCCATACCGCTTTTGAGAAAGAATCCGGCTTTCGTCGAGATACCTAAACAACTCCTTCCGAATAATCTAAAATTATAACAACCAAGCCGGCTAGGTTTAGGAAAATAGTCCTTAGATCCATATCGCATACCTCTTTTGAAGATAGGACTTACTACAGTACCCATACAGTTATTCGATAATCCGCCATGGGCCGCAGATAGGTTAAAATACATGCTTCAGGGATTCGCGACATAATTTGCTAATTTCCTTTAGTAAACTTGGATTCATTTCTTTGGATCCCATGGATTTAACAAACCAAAAAATTTGGGTCCTTTATTGGTCAGTGTTCAGAGTGTATGCATTGAGTTCTTTCAATTAACAGAGTCGGCACCTCTACAGTATATACATCGTCAAAGTAATTTGGGAATACCTGAGCTGTGCTATAATCGCCCTCGACTAATGATTCAGTACTACTGTTTCCCCATAGTGTTAGGATGTTGAATCTTCTCCTTGTCCTGTGGTTTATGTCTGAGTATAAGCGCTTAGGGCATTCTACAGAATCACTAACATGATTTTCTTTATACAAAATCTTGGACTTGCAGAGGGTCGAAGGACAAATATTCTGAACTTCCTGATATTGAGGTCTTGTCTCATTAGTAACCAGTAACCTAGCCTTGCTAAGCAAGCTCCGGGCATTTTTGTGACAGATCCGAAGACCATCTAAAAGGCTTCGTGTTGCACCCAAAGTGGCTCCGGTATCATTCTCTATCGAAGCCTCACTACCAAAAAGTTTGCGATTCTAAAGTCCCTTTATTCAGCACTTGACCTTAGTTTTAGTTTGTTTGGTTCCTTCTGCAAGAGGAACAAAAATTCTCGATCCTCTTAGTTTATGTCGGCTCGGCAGTAGTAAGTCTCTTTCATTGGGAGGTTCAAATATCACTTTTAGCAGGTTGGTTTGAGGTTGTTTCAAGTCCGTTCGGCTGCTTAGTCTATAAACTTTTGGCGTGGTGACCCCGGAAATATCCCGAGGCACTGGCAGTAGTTCTTTTATCGACCCAGCGTCATGCTCAAATCGGGTTCTGAGCTTTCATTTTCCTTGACTTTGTGAAAGACAGCTGACCTGCCACTATGATTAGCTTTCGATTTATTAACTGCTGTTTGGAACACTGGCATTTCTTCAGCGACAATGAGTCGTTTCTTATTTTTGATTTTTACCCATTTATCAGATTTCATTATTGTAGTAATCACAATCATGTTATACACACTGTGACATCCTGGATGATTGTCGGTGACTTGGGTGGTCAGGTGGCCGTTTTTCCTACTAGAAACAGATCTAGACCTGCCACTTAGTTTCTCAGGCGTTTTTTGCTTGTTGCCATTTGGAGGGAGAGGAAATACAAAAACATTTTTTTGGGCTTTTATTTCTAATAGATCACTTTCAAGTTGGTCTTTACTCCTTTGCTCCATATGCGTCAGTTGGTTCTGAGGTTATATGAGACAGCTTCACATCGACTCATGTGCCGACAGAGCGAGTAACATTTGATGCGCCTCAATTACATCTACTAATACTCCATTTAGCAGCGTTGACCATTTCAGCGGCTTCGGATAGCCAGCTGTTTGAGTTCGAGCAGCATTGATGACACAACCACAACGATATTTACTAAACTGTTTGAAAGCCCCTGGCGTTAGATTCGTGAAAACTTTGTGGTAAGAGGACTGAGCAAGAGAAAGCTTACATTTCGCTCACAATTCATCGATGCTGTAACCTTGAAACGAGGTCACAGAGCAGAGGGGACTTTTTAAAATCGCACATGGTTGTTCTTAAAGTATCCCCTGGAGACTTCTCGAACTTTAATATAGCTGATGTGATTATCAAAAAACTCCATGCCAGAAATATTTCTGAACTATTTCCTGTGCAATTCAAAACATACGAGACCATATCTTCGGGGAGAGACGCAGTTGTGTTAGCGAGTAAGTCAGAATCAGTTTAATAGTTTCAGGAACCGGGACGGGGAAGACATTAGCATTTTCCTTACCACTAGTCAATTCACTCATAAAAGGGAAGGGTTCTCGCCCATCTACTCCTGTGGTCCTTGTACTAGCTCCAACACGAGAACTAGTGACCCAAATTGCTACAGATTTCGAGTCGATTTGTGTTCATGGCATTAAAGTGACGTCAGTTTACGGAGGGGTCCCTTATAAACCACAATGTAAGCTATGCTTCGCATGATATAAGAAAATAGGTGATGCCCTTCGCCAGGGTACTCATATTGTAGTTGGTGCTCCTGGTCGAGTTATGGACTTGATGGAAAAAGGCGTTCTAAAGTTATCAAGCGTTCGGCATGTTGTCCTAGATGAGGTGGACCGTATGCTGGATATGGGTTTCAGTAAAGATGTGGAAAGTATTTTGTCGGAAATATATAATAGCGAAAATCCTGAAAAACCTCAAACTCTTCTGTTCTCTGCTACTATGCCTTCATGGGTTTCAGAGATATCAAAAAGTTATCTTTCAGATGATGCCTTACACTTGTCTTTAATAGATGAACAAGAAACAAAGACTTCCGTCAATGTCACAGTATTTTGAAATTTCATAAATAACTTTCTCTTTAGCATTTAGCTCTCCTGTGCCCTTATGAATCACGTGCAGCTACATTATCAGATGTCATAAAAGTTTATTGCAAGAGTCGAGAGTCAAGATGCATCGTGTTTTGTGAACGCAAAAAGGACGCAGACGAGTTATCTGCAAGTGATGCTATGTCAGCTGATTGTCATGTTCTTCATGGAAGTGTTCCACAAGAAAAACGAGAGTTAGTTCTCCAAGTAAGTCTTCTGCACAACATTCATGGTTTGGTCTTTATGATTTATAGAGTTGTGATGGTTTTATTATTATATTTTATACAAGTGAGTAAATTCCCCAGCATGAAATACTCGGATTTATAATAGCTTCATTGTTTGGGAATACTAGTCATATTCAAAGGTTTCTATGTATGTCAGTCTCTTCACTGTTTTAAGTTTTATATAAGGACATCGCTTTTCACGCTCGAAACCATTCCAAACCGTTTACATTGGAGAAAACAACCACACTTCAAGATTAGACTTGAACAAATTTAGTTCCAAGAAAATTAAACCTTTGAATAAACGATGTAGAAAATCAATTTCGGGTAACGAAGTGACGCGTTCTCTCCATCGATTTGAGATTTGCTTGTTTGGTAGCTATGGCAGACTGGTATTTCCGACACCCGTCTTCTGTATCCCTCGAAAATAGGAGAAACCCAATTACCTGTTCAATAGTGGTCTTGAGTGCTCTTAAGTGACGAGTATACTGCGCGGCAGTTCGTTCCATTCTACTATACGGCTGCGAAACATGACCTTTAAGAGTAGAAGATACTCGTAAGTTACTAGTATTTGACCACAGATGCCTTAGAAATATTGCTGGTATCTGCTGGTATCACCGGGTAAGTAGACGCAGGGTATTAGGGAATGGTGGTAAATCAGTTGATGAGGTTATGAGTCTTCATCGACTGAGATGGTTGGGCCACGTGTTGCGTATGCCTGAACACCGATGACCACGACGCGCAATGCTAACCGGTGTTAGGGATAATTGGAAGAAAGTTAGGGGCGGCCAAACCAAAACGTGGCATCAGTGCTTGAAGTCACTAACTTCTAGTCTGAGCCATGTTGGTAGATGCAGACTATCTGGTTGGGGTCCGTGTGACTATCGTAACCAATGGTTGGAGACTCTTGGTGACATGGCTCAGAATCGATCACAATGGCGTCGGTGTATACACTCTGTCTTCCTTTAAACTAAGAGATTAAAATCGCTTCATATCTTTCTTTCTACGAACTAATTCTTTCTTCCTGTACTATCTCCTTATATGTAATCTTTTTCTTATATAATACCACCACTGGATGCTAATGCAGTATGGCAACTTGGACCGATGCATATATGTGCCTGGTCCTACGTCGCAGCTGACTGACCTGTCCAATATTTCAGGGGTTTCGACAAACATACTAGTCTAGTCTAATCTTAGGGAATGACGTGATCGAGCACGTCGACCACTCATTTATCTTGTGAGTCTCAGCAACATTGGCAGGTCTCTGTATAACAATTTCTGCCCGGACCCGAAACATTTATTAGGCTTTGGTGAACCTAAACCTTTTGTGACTTGGATAACATGTCCACTTGTCGATTAGAAAGCTAATATTCTGCTTAGCAGTCTACTTTATGGTTGTAAAACGACATGTTTGATAGTAAGGGGATTTTTTTAGATAAGTAGTATTTGACTGATGTTTTCTTAATTGAGTGTTCACTGTTGAGGCTAAATGTTACGGTACTAGGAAAAGGTGTTAGATCTATTGGTTCGACTAAATCTTCATCGGCTGACGTAACTAAAGTGTGCTATGTATTCTCAGTTACTCCTTGTTTCGATGCGTGTCGGATGAATTACGAGTAAAGTGGAAGCTGAGGGTGGGGGAACTAAGATGTAACATTCTTGGTATGTGTAACCTGTTCATAGTCCGTACGTTTATCATGTCCACTAGTTGAGGCACAAACGTACTCTCACTTGTAGATCTTACTCTACGCTATCTTGTTTTATTTCTTTTCAAACTATATTTTGTAAGATTACTCGTACTATCATCGATACAAATATCGCTCCGACTCATTTGGTATTCATTTTGTTAACTGAGCCCATTATTTAGTATGATGACTTGGATCCAAGCACATTCACCATGGCTAGTGTTGTGTAGCCGAACTCAAATTAACATGCGTTTAAGATGGGCGAATTCACAGTAAAACGTAATCTGAAGAACTCCAGATCTGTACACTATCTTAGTGCCTATGCTCTTCACTCACTTTCATTTTTACAAGCAGTCGCCTAGTGTGCGACATCATAAATTCTACTTCACTATACATCGGGTTTAACTACTCTAATGTTCCATTATTATTTACTGAAGTACTTGTTGATTTTCAACTTTGTAGAAATTCCGTGACGGTAAATACAGGACGCTACTGACAACTAACGTGGCTGCTCGTGGTCTAGATGTTCCAAACGTAGATTTAGTAATACAGTGCCATCCTCCACGGGATATTGAAGACTATATCCACCGCTCCGGTCGAACTGGTCGAGCCGATCGTAGTGGCACTTCCATCTGTTTTTATACTTACAAGGAGCGTGGTATGCTTTCCAGGATTGAAAACATGGCGGGTATAACCTTTCGCCGCATATCTGCACCTACTATTAACGACATCACTGCTGCTTGGGGTGAAGAAATTTCAAAGTAAATATGATTTCTCTTGTTACGACCTAGCTACTCCTATTGCTTAGTATTCTTGATCACCACTTCGCTCGATAAGTCCCCAAATAAAAACACGCTTAAACAGGAATGTAATTATACTCTAAATAAACAAAGTTGGGTTAAATTAAGGATTGCAATAAGAAAAACTTTAGTATATTTATAATTTATACATAAGATTATAGAGTATTCTCTAAGTATCCACTAGTTCTGTTTGGTTAAGAAATAGTTGATCAGTGTTCCCAAACACAATCCTGCATGGAACATGCTTTAATCTTATTTATATCCGGCTAACACCTCCACTTTGGGCAGATTCATAGGATCTGGTGTTAGGGTCCACCTGCAACCGGGTGGCTGGTTTGTGCTTTCGATTTCGTTACCTAGGCAATAATGAAGTATCACTCTTTGCCCTCACAGATATAGACCTGCCTGTCTCTGCGTTCTTGATTTCAAAGGTATTCTATGTCGGGTCTCGTTGCTGGCGATCCAATTTGCTTTTAGTTGTTTAGCATAACACATTCAAACTTTTGAGCCAATTGACAACTTATAAACCACATTTTATTTTGCAGAATTCAAGCAGCTATCCATGTAGGATGTTTGCTACGATAGTCCATATAAAGTATTTTCGACCCACAGTAAACAATCGTCTTTGTGTCGTATGATGTTGATTGAATTGTTTCTTGATCGTTAGACGAATGACATTGTATTTTTCTGCCAAGTAAAGCCTTTGCTTGAGACCCCGTTATTTGTCTGAGGATTTGGTTTAGAACGACAGATAAGCAGGGACTTCTTTAAAATCTTCGGTAGTTCCCTCCCTTTTTATTTTTGCAGAGCACTTCTAAATATACCAACAAAGCGTTCTACCTGGTCATTGAGTTGGGGATGAAATCGAGGTATTCGGATGTAACTGATTCTGTTCTGCTAACAAAATTCTGAGAAGATAGCAGACTTAAACTGTGTCCGATTGTCGCTAACTACTAATTCTGTAACCCCGAGATGACTAGATAGTCGACGTAGTTTTCTGACTGTTCAGCTTGCAGTTGATTGTTCCATGAGAAAAACTTCAGGCCACTTTCTGTATACATTAACTACTAAAAGGTAAGTTTGTCTATGAAGTGTACCAGCAAAGTCCAAGTGCATACGCTGCCACGGTGACTGTGGTATTGGCCATGACCAGCTCTACTTTCCGCGGTACTTTTGTTAATGCGTATTTGATGCACAAACAGGATGGCTGTTCCATTTAGGTGTCTAAATGCGACCAGTATACCTAACCTTCATTCGATCTATCCCAGGATGTTTTGCGTGCAACTGTTCAGGCACTGCTGGTTGCAACTTCTTTGGGATTATGACACGTTCGACAAACAGAAGGTGGTCTTCGATGATTGAGATAGTCTACTCTGGTAGAATTGCTGAAGCTTTGTGAAGCTGCCCTTCTAGGTGACTTTAATTAGTCAGTTATAACCTTGATTCGAACTTTTAAATAACCAATTTTATCATTTTACTAACTAATTTGCGAAACGCTAAGTTATTTTTTAGTCATCATGCTCTAAATTACTTCTTAATGTAATCGACTAAATAAACTGAATGGCATGAAGAACTCGGAGCTTCTTATGTTTAAGGGCATATAGTTTTAGCTGGACTCAAATGTATTGGAGTTTTTCGATTGCATCCTTTGTTCAACAGAAGCTGTACAACTGAAAAAATGTGTTGTCAAAGTACACAGTTGCATTAAACTACTCATATTTTTGACTGTATAGTGGTGATCTTGATAATTTCTCCTAATCTCACTTTAAAATACCAAGTAAAGTTGTTTTAAGCTTCCATTTCTGATTTATAATTTGGTTTGTAAGCATTATGGTGGCACCCAACCCATGGAAATACACGTATGCTTTATCTATTAATAATATGGTAGAATAACACATTCATCAGGTATTGATAACTTTCTTCCTGTTTTTAATGTAGAACACTTTCCAATGTATCCAAATCTACTTGGTCCACATTTGTACCTTTGGCCTTATCCATCGCTAACCAGTTTGCACAGAACTCAAAAACTGGGAAAGTGAAAAAAGATTCTTGTGACGACTTGGGGGTTGATGGTAAGACATCTGATCGCAAGCCTAAATCTAAAGACATACTTCATGCTCTTTGTTGTGCATTAGCATGCCTGAGTGGCAAAGAAGGTGCAGTTGAAAGTCGCTCAGCACTCACAGCACAGATAGGAAAGACAGCCTATAAACTTGAGTTGAATTTTGTTGCTCGAAGCAAGGGACTAGCCTTCGCTACCTTACGAACCCACTTACCGGAAAACATTGTAAACAGTATTCAAAGTCTAAGTTTCATTCGTGGGAAAATGGTAAGTCGTTTTTTAAAAACAAATATTTGATAAAAACTAATGTAATATGTTATTTTGACAACATCTGACTGTCGATTTGCAGTGTTTGTCAAGTCTATCTACTATTTTCTATCTAACTCCATAAATATACTCGAGAGGTGACTTAAATCTTGGGTTTTCAAGAGCTGTCAATGACTAAGAGGATGAAGATGATGTAGTCCTACTTGGTGAAAACACTGACAAGATGCTAAGTTGTTTGTCTTCCTTGAGTAATCGTGCCAAAATGTTTGCAATGCCTTTTTCTCCTTTTCAATACAAAATGTTGTTTTAGGACCGGTGTGGTTTAATGCTTAATCTGACTAAAGGGAGTTAAGAATCTAATCACGTTGGTCACTTCATTTATCCTGCCACTTATCAATAGTCCTAGTGAGCTGACAACTTTTTCGGGATTCTGAACTTGCGCCATTCGTGGCTCAGACCAAATGTTCGTATGATCAAGGTACAGAAGATATACAATGCATCATATTGCTGTGTTATTTTATAATTATGAAGCATGACCATGTGTAGGTTGTCAATATTTGGTCATCGTCATTTTTATAGTACTTGCTGTAAGTGATGAAACCAGTGAATAAAGAATGAAAGAGTTATCGGTATGGTCTATCTTTTATTTAGTACACACAAATACTGCTACAACTGGGTACCGAAATAAATTTGCTCCGTTCAGACAAGGAAGTAAAATTGTAGAGAAACATAAGACGGAATATAATTGAAAGCGTTGATGAAAAGAGTAAGTGAACGAGAGTATTGTAGTGGAAAAAATGTCCAGTTAAAATACAACCAGAAAGAAGTCTTACTCTTAACTAAGTCGACTACATTTTTTATAAATAATGCAAGTGAAAATTACAACAAGATCGTTATTTGCTTCCATTTTGGGCTGTCTGATAACGTCCCTAATCACTGAAATATCATCTCTTGAACCTTAACCAGGAAGTCATGACTCGTCAACAGATGCCAATCCCGTATAGTGTTCGTTCATACCACGGCGGCATGTTATAAACTACTTTTGTTTTTATCACCCTTCCCAGCACCAGTAATCTATGCCCGCTTTGGAATTCTCTCGAACGATAGCTTAAACACACTTTCAAGCCACCGAAGTCAATGTTCCAAAGTGGTGTCACTGCTCCCTAACACACAAACCTCAACATTAATAACATCCTGTTGCCACTAAATGTCAGCAATCCTTTAAAGACAACGGTAATCTGATACAGTTGTCGGACACCCTCAACTCGGAGGCAGGCCCTGACAGGTTTACCCCTGAGATTTTTAAGGATGGCGGTCCAGTATTAGCAGCAAGATTGACTGAGGTCTTAGGTAGAATCTGGAAACTGGACGTAACCCATCTGATTGGTCTCAATCACTGGTTGTGCCAGTCTATAAGAAAGAACAAAAGTCTTCTTGTGACAACCACAGAGGAATTAGTTTGACTAATATAGTGTCTAAAATATTAGCTTCAATAATACTTCGACGTCTAACCTAAGCTCGTGAAGAGCAAACTAGAGAAAACCAGGCTGGTTTCCGACCTGGACGTGGTTGTATAGATCAAATATTCATACTACGTCAGGTCCTAGGGCATAGACACACATTCAGACGTCCTACAATGGTAGTATTTCTCGACCTTAAGGCGGCATTTGACTCCGTTGATCGTGAGGTCCTATGGCAGTGTTTGTCACTGAAAGGAGTACCAAAGAAGTACATTAACCTTATAAAGGCTCTCTACTCGAGCACAACTGGTCGAGTGAGAGCATATGGCGAACTGTCATCAGAACTGATTACCTCAAGTGGTGTTCGTCAGGGCTGTCCACTCTCTCCATTCTTGTTTAACTTTGTCGTTGACGTGCTTTTAGAAATAACATTTTCCTCATCTGACTTTCCAGGAGTTGAGCTTTTACCGGGAGATTCACTTGTTGATTTAGAATATGCCGATGACATAGTTCTATTTGGTGAAGACGCTGACCAAATGCAGAGTCTGCTGACCACTCTAAGCAACAATGCAGGCATGTTCGGCATGCGATTTTCCCCCTCGAAATGCAAAATGTTGCTTCAGGATTGGGTTGACTCGGCACCCGAACTAGTGATAGAGAGTGAAGTAATTGAGCGTGTCGACCGCTTCACTTATCTTGGAAGTCTCATCAGCCCTTGTGGTCTGGTGTGTGACGAAATCTCAGCACGGATACAGAAGGCTCGACTAGCTTTTGCCAACTTGCGTCATTTGTGGCGTAGGCGAGATATCCGTCTATCAACCAAAGGACGTGTTTACTGCTCAGCAGTTCGTTCCGTCCTACTTTATGGCAGTGAAACATGGCCGGTAAGAGTAGAGGATATTCGTAGGTTACTAGTATTTGATCGTAGGTGTCTTCGAAACATTGCTCGTATATCCTGGGACCACTGAGTAAGTAACTCAGTTGTTAGGAAACGAGTACTAGCTAAGGATGGCAAATCAATTGATGAAGTAGTGAAACTTAATCAGTTGAGATGGCTGAGACATGTGTTGCGCATGCCAGACCACCGACTTCCCCGACGTGCGATGTTTTATGGTGTTGTAGGAGTAGGTTGGAAGGAAGCTAGGGGAAGCCAGACCAAAACATGGCACAAATCCATGAAGTCACTGACAAGTGGACTGAGCAATGTTGGTAGGTGTAGACTACTTGGTTGGGGTCCGCGAGACGATGGCAACCGATGGTTAGAGATCTTGAATGACATGGCTGGAAATCGTTTGCAATGGCTCAGGTGCATCCACTCTCTGTGTTCTCTCAAACTCTAATCTTCTGAATTCTTCATGTCCTTTATTTTCTTTCCAAATCTATTCCACTGGACTATACTCCTTAAATAACATCATCAAACCCTAGTGTTCCCTATCACTACCTCTTGCACTACGGGATTTGAATCGATAACTGAATCTCTGTGGTAATGTGGTATGGCAACTCGAACTGATGTACGTACGTACGAAGTTCCACGTTGTTACTGACTGACTGATTCACTTTATGTAGATTGATCTCATCTGCTTTCACACAACTACTTCAAGATAAACTTCGACCACACCTAACAGCCCGCCACCCAGAGTGTGTGCAGATACAGCCTCCTACCAGTCTTACAGAAGTATTCCCTACTTGAAGAATGCAAAGTCTATGCCATACCCATTAACTCTGATTGTATCATCACACTAATACAATGTCATCTACATAATTAAGGTACACGTAACAAACCCTCATCACCACCACTGCCTACTTCTGTCAATGGTGTTTCCAAAATGTCATCGATAGCAATGTTGAGGATAAATCGTGAGATTGGGGAAACCTGTCTAACAACGGAGAAAGGTGGTTAAATGCTATCAACCTGCCTGAAGTGTTCGTTCACAGACCCTTCAGCGTATTAATAGACTTGTCAATCACACCGTCCAATAGATAATATCAGCATAATTTTGTCTAACGAATTGAAGACTGCCCTGATATCAAGAAACACAACAACCGTTGACGTCCAATAAGTGTGGCAGTACTCTAATTTTAGGCAGGTGGTGAAAGTATAATCAATACACCTACTACGTAATCGGAAACCAACCTTGTTTCCCAATAGTTGTTCGATAGACAATATAGGGCCTTTTTAAAGATAAGGACAACGATTACTTTATCCTAAGATTTTGGAACACTTTCCTCAAATCTTTCTGAGCAATTCACTCATTTCCGTGACCAGAAGTTCTCCAAAATCCATAATAAGAGGTGGATAAGTCCTCTGAGCCTCGTGAATCATGACGCTTCAGAAGTTAAAGTTCCTTGTTGTATCAGATCTCATCGACCGGTAAGGGTATGGCAGTCTGCTCAATGTTGCTGGGGCTGTAAATTAACTCAAATGTTCCTCGAAATCTGTTATCTGACGAGTCCCCAACGGTCACCCAAGTGACTCTCTCCTTTGCCAAGACGTCTGACTTGTTCATTCAACCTCTGACTAACACTAGATAGAAATACCAAGTTGGTTGATAGGACTGTGAATCTCCATCGATCAAAGTATCTGGGGGCGCATATCATAATTCCCAGTTTGCGCACGGCACGTTAATAAGCCTTATTCCCTACAAAGTTTTTTCTATCAGAAGACCTTCAAATCTAAAGGCTTGTCATTAATAGTAACGACTGTCATGTTATGTAAATTCATAACGCTCTACAATGTTATTAAAAATTATGTTACTGCAATAATATTCACACTATCGTCATTTTATACTCATGTCATTATTACAAGGGATACGTGTTCGATCTGCCTTCAGAGCATGATGAATTTGTCAAGTCAACATGGCCAAATGATGCACAAGCTAAACTTTCACTACTTTCTGAAATCCCAGAATTAGAAGAGGAAGACTTTTTCAATCAAGGTCGTTCAGGAAATTATGGATCCTGGCAAAGTCGATTCAACGGCGGTTCGAGACAGTCATTTAAACGTGCCTATAATAATGGTACTTTCAATAGTTCATTCAGAAATTCAAAGTCTTTTAAATTTGATAACAGTTGAATAAACATTTGTTCTGAATTCTAATCTTTTTTACATTCTACATATGTATGTGTAGTAGCAGACTTAGTTGTCTCGCTTATCAAAATCGCTTGAGTTTCAAATCAATACTTCTAATTATCGTACTGTGTCGGGGATAAAAACAAGAAAAATACATATGTTGAGAAAACTAGGATTTTTACTAGCTACAGGATTGTTATTAATAGATGATTATACGACGCTCTCCGGCGTTTAATGTTTTTTCATATACATGAGATTAGCAACGGGTGATTTTAAAGTCCGCTATAATTTTTAGTTTATTTCACCTCCTTCTACTAGTAGCATCCTACCAAGTCAAGTACTAAGCTTGTATTTGAACATTCCGATTCAGTGTGCTTAGCAAGTCTTTGCGTTCTACCTTTAGATGTTTGATGTCTCTCATAAGTGACATCGAGTGAATAATATTAGGGCATCATGGCACGTGATTTTGGTCTTATTTGGTTTAAAGCACTAACATTTTAGATTCACATATCCTGCTTCAGCTTCTTTCACAAAGTTAATCGATTTCTTGTGCTAAAATAACTACGTATATGATCAATGGTCTCGGTGTGACCGACCATTTTACCAGTTGTTGGTAAGTTTCAGCATGTAATCAAGATCCTTGTTACTTTTGTTAGTTTTCTCTGAGTTGGGTCAATATATATGTATATATTTTCGATATCTATTAGACTAGAAGATTTCATCACCAAAACAGACGCACATTAATCATGTTCTCAATCTTTTTCGGAAAATTCAGATTATAATGCTATGCAAATGCCTATCAAGTAGAAGCCACGCCTCAAACTAAAAAAAAATATTGTTAGGTTTCTTTTAACTCAGTGCCGTTCAGTAATTGAAGAGACAAATAACATACACATGAGTCGAGTGCAAAGAATTTCTAATTATATCTGTGGATATTATGTACTCAAAAATAAGTTTTCAACAGTACTATCTAGTGAATACAATTTTTTATCATCTAGATTTCATTGTTCCTTTTCAATTTACCGGGTTGACCTTAAAAACTTTCATATTTAACAACAAAAGATTTTCTTTTGATAATTAAATGGCAAAAGATTTTCCTTTTCAATTACTTGTGTCATTAACCGTGGCGCATGTAGATAAATAATAACAGTTTACAGCGGTAAAAAGGAAGTCAACCAATTCAGTGGGAATCACGATAATTAATACCAACTTTTGTTGAAAGTTCATTATGATTCGAACAGACCTATTAATTATTATAATAAGCATTTAAATTTTAAGACTTCTGTAATATAAACAAAAATCATGCTGATAGTTTACTAGTTATGCTGTAAATTAGAAGGAATCGAGGAGTGATCAAAAGAATTCATTAATCTTTCGGAGATTTCAACTGACCTATATATAAAATCAAACTTTTTGTAGTATTTCCAAAAATAGAAATTATAATTTATTGTTCATGTTTTGATCAATTGAACGCTATGATAGATTCCATAATCCATTATACTGCAATAGTATACGGATACCTCACAAAAATCTCAAAAACTGTCAGACTATGTTTAATTGTTTAAAACCCCCATCGTATTAAAACACTAATATCTGAACGAAGAATATTCTTTCCAATAAATTCTCTTCATGTTCTACAATTATCTTTTTAATTTATTAATTCGAAAAATGTCCAGATTTAAAGCAAAGTACGTTTCAAGTTAAAGTATATGAATTTAGGATTGTTAAAATAAAGTTGTTAATGTAGCGATAACTAATGTGCAATGTTAATTTGAATCAGTTTGTACGTTAAGTGAAATTATGAGATCCATGATCAGAGTAAATATGGGTCAGATAGGATTAGAGAAATAATATTGTAATTACAAATCCGATCAGATGTGTAGTGGAAGACTATATCATGCAAAAAGTTTTGTGAAATTAATAAGAATAATGTGGGATAAATGCCAAGTAAATGAATCATGTATTCGGGAGATTATTAGGTGGTTTAAGTCAATAATAATATGAAGATGTGTAAATAAGGATGACAGGCAATTATATTTGACTAAGAAAGTGTGTAAGTACATCGGTCAAATTAGATCATTCAATAAGTTGAAATTACTATGGATTAGATGGCCAAGGTAAGAGAAGCTGTTAAAGATATCATTTGTACACATAGCTCTAGTTTTTAATCCGAATGGCTGACTCGCTCTACAAGAGCAGTCGAAATGATAAATACAAAACGAAGTAGTTATTTTAGGTAATTCATCTTTTATCCTGTGTCACCATCGGGCGCATAGAAAACGCTAGTTGCTTTCCAGTGTTGAATTATTTATTTTTAGAAGTTTACATTCACACTACTCATGATTAGTGCGAATTTATTTTCTAGTTTTTAGTCAAGCATTAATGTAACTAAAAAATGAATCTGTTGATTTTTACTATTTATTTGTGGAGATCGTAGTATTGTAACCGTTAGATTCATGAGTCAATCTAAGCTAGCTCCACGAAACCCCATTCTGACAATAATCATAATGTGCTCACTGGTGACTAGCTTCGAGAGGTAGTTTTCGGAGTTCTAGTGATAAGCCGTGATCAATGGAGTCAAATCTATGTCGGGTGGAAACAGTTATCCACCCCAGGCAATGGATAAGGGGTTGCGTAAGGTCATGAATCTATTGAAGTTGAATATTAACACCATTGGGTGCCGGCTCGATGGTCTAATTACTAAATGGAGAATAGCATTCTATCAATTTTTTTAATTCATGTTTTATAAAGTAAGAGCCCCCAAATGCCCTGGTACGGCCGAGAGTGGGGAGAGTCCGCTCTCCCTCTCGAAATGCTCTCACATGGCCATGCGTATATAGCCTCTGCCAGGGATATCCTACTCACTGCCTTCTCGTGGCGAGGGTGTTGTTTACGAAAATGAGAGGACGAAAAGCGAATGTCTGGCGCTTTAACCGGACCCCAAACCAATGGTGTACATGGGCTCCAGTATCCTGAAGGAACAAATGGCGTATGAACCAATCGTTGGTCACCGGCTACCATGGGACTGCATCTCCTTACGATGCTCCACTGCCTTGTGGGTCAGACGTTCAGGTCGAAGGCTCGAGGTATGGCCCCCTAAGAAAACCACCTGCTTCGGTTTGGGCACCCAGACAGTATCACAGCCCTCACACAAATCAATTGCGATTCGTGTGGCGCATATGTATTTGGTGCCTCCTTGTACCAATACCTATGTGTTAAAATAAAATAAAAATAAATAATATAAAGTAAGAAGGTATAATATGACAAACTAAAAACTCTTGAGAGTTTCTTATGAGGTTCTACTCAAACCATTAGTTTCTTCGTTTTACACAACTAGTTGATTAGTCAAATAGCCACCTGATTTATGATCAATTTTCCTTGACGAACTAGTATGTTGGTTTGATTTTGGTGGTTATCAAGTTTTTACTTCATTCTACAACACAGAAAACACAGTTTTCATACTTGAATTTCTGTTACTAATAATAGAACCGGCGTGGATAATTTTGTTTGAACATTCCTATTCTCATGGAATTCGATGACTAGGTTTTACTCACTTGATTCCTTTGTTGTCTTGAGAATCTCGCAACATACCACTAACTTAATACTTAAGATGCTCATGAATGGATAATACAGAACGTCAGCACACTTCCTAAAAAGAGGTTTGGGATTTCGTCAGTTCCTAAACATCGGAAGACATTTTCGAACATCAGTTTCCGTGGAAATCAGAACACACATGTTCTTCAAACCTGTGGATATAGGAATCCTGACATCATATAACTGACGAACAAAATACTTATTTAAGTCACAAACGTTCAACTAGTTATCACTTTTAATGTGTCTCTCACACGTAAGTTCTTTAAATAGTTTCCGCATACTTAAAGAATTTTTACAAGGAGGTTCTGGGTAAATATAGAGTTCAGACGTCTAATCTCTTGGTTTATTAGACCATTTGGCTGCAATGAACTTCCTCCATATACAATCTTTCATTTTCCCTCCTAAATCTTTGTAGTTTTTGGATGCAGGTCTGTCTAATCTTATAAAAATAGTTTCAGTGGAGCAAGAAATATCAAAACTGAATTTAAGATAATAAGTGACAACATCAACGGTGTTTTCTAATAAATAATTGTCGTATAAAACATATTCTTCAAATTTTGGATATTTTCTTTTGAGCGATTTCTGCGTTTGATTTTCTTTTTATGATGTAAGAGTGTACTCTTTTCAAGATTGCCACGTACTTCGGGTAGAACCCGAATAATACAAAGATAGCTAGATAGTGCAGCACGTTTACGAGTTACTCATATTTCTACATCATTAGTGAAAACTAAGTCTAAATGGGCATTCGAACGAGTGGGGAAATTACTAGGTTTTGGTAACTTAAAGGTGAATGAAAGCTACAGTAACATGAATTAAAATCACATACAATTCAATGTAAACCATTGAAGTCAGTAACTGTGAATTCATCAGCGAAAACAGGTAATGCAGATGATGTACACTCTGGAGTCACGTAGGTGTTGGTTACCTTAAACGTAATTGTGTTTATTCAAGTGTTTAGCAGGGCATCTTAAAGTTAAACAGTTGATAGAGTCGTTTGACAACTTAAAACATGCAAAAGTAGATCAACACCAGTTCACATTTACAAATATAACTACACCTTTTCTTATTTCTTGATCTATCCTGACGATAAATATTAAAATCTTGTAGTGATATTAAGCAATCGTTTTTTAAATCATTTAACCAGGATTCCTGGATTGTGATTACACTACAATAACGATACTTGTTTAAACTTAGTAGGGATTGAAGATTGTCCACCTTGTCAATTAGTGATCGGTGGTTAGAATTTAGCACTTCAGGCATCGGCATTTGATTAATGTTCTTTTTTTAAATACATATTGCCAGCCACCATGCTGTCTCAGATTGTACCTTGTAAAGCGATAGATCGTAAACTTTTCATAAATGCCCCTGAATATGTTATGTGATTACTAGACGCAATAATGTGCTAAAAC